ATGATTAATCATATCTGTTACCTCCCTAAACACATTTATTATATTACTAAATTATCCGACCTGGGCCCTGGCACTAATTATTATAAGTAAAAAAGTATATTTAAAATACTCATAGTTTTATGGGTATTTTGAAACAGAAAAAGCTGATAACGCTGGTTCGCTCCGTGGGACAGTTAATGCTTTCGCATTAATAAATATTCAAAATAACAATAATTTTGCATTTTCACAAGCAATAACCATTCTTAATTTCTATTCTTTTTCCAGTGACAAGTAAATATGTTTTCCTTTTTTTTAAACAACGAGACAAATAAATTAGCATATAAATGATCGCGTTCTGCGCAAGTGCGGAAGTTCCACCCGTCATCGCACTACAGCCTTGTCGATTTCCTTGACAATGCCGACTTCCCTGCCTCTAATGCAAAAATCACTTGTACTATCGTGGACACTGTTAGCTATAACGCGGCAGCGGCTGCCGTCCCGTACCCCCAGCGCCTCATAGCAGGCGCCGTCCGAAACCCCGCGCATGCGCCGTGTGGCGGGCTCGCTCTTCCCGCCTGCGAGCACACCCTCGCTTTGTCGTCTGCTAGGCACAGAGCAGACGACGCCACAGCGCTTGCCAATTTTCCCTGAACACGGTTCAGCAAACCACCGCGTAAGAGGTGTCCACGGTTGATTCCCTGACTCCGCTGGCTAAGGATGATCATCGCCACAAATTGGAATATCACGGTAGAATACTTTTCTTTTTTTTTTATGGGACAAACTTGGCAGTTATACTCCGTTTTACTTAGGTCTAAGCGCAGCGGACGCTACGAGACGATAGGGCCAACCAAGCAGCGACAAAAGCGCACTTTTTGCACCTTATTGTGTCCCCCGGTGATGCACTCCGTGACATTGCACCTTTGCCGTTATTTGATTGGCTATGTCGTTTTGTAGCGTACGCTGCATTCGGACTTAAGGTGAAACGGAGTACAAGTCTATTTCTGTATCACACCTGCTGCGCTCATACTGGTTTGCGAGTGCATATTGTCAAAGATGGATTGCGAAATCCTGTTTCTGAAAAAGAAAAAAAAAAAAAAAAAAAAAACGTTGACAGGGTTAATGCCTTAATGACTCTGCAATCTCCCCCAATCAAAATCGCCGGTTTAAAATGAGTTTGAGACCAGTTCGCTAGGGCCAGGGTACAAGACGAGCAGCACTGTGGCATCGCCTTTTCTGCGCCTAGCAGACGACAAAGCGAGGGTGTGCTCGCAAACGGGAAGAGCGAGTCCGCCACACGGCGCATGCGCGGAGTTTCGGACGGCGCCTGCTATGAGGCGCTGGGGGTACGGGACGGCCGCCGCTGCGGTGTTATAGCTAACAGTGTCCACGATAGTACATTTCAATGTACTAAAAACCGTGCGCGTTGGGCGACCCTTAGTTTATGCATTGCTCCAAGATTTCACTGCAACACAATGTGCGTGCTTAAAGAGCCCAGAAAAAAGAAAAAAGAGTCATTTCGTGTAAGTATGACATTGCCGCACTAGAGCTTGGGAAGTCGCTTGGTGTAACAGCTGATATCTCGACTGTCTGCATGATCCACCGTCTGGGCCCTTCTCAGGCCACCACGTAGGCACAGAAGAAATAACATAGGTGAGAAAAACGCCCCGTGTTATTCTTGCTTGGACTATCTGTCGCCTCGAGAAAAAACGCGGCTGCCACTCAAGGATTCATCTGATTGTGGTCGAGAGGTGGCAAGGATATCCTGATACCTCAAACGTACCAGGTGCGCCAGTGTTTCGCTTTTGAAGACCGCAGTGTTAAAGTCGTTGACGCTTCGCAGTGTAAGAATAAAATAAACACATGTTGAGCAAACGCTCTAAAAAAAACACAGTTATCGCTTATGGAGTGAGTTCAGGAATTACCTGCCTGATTCACAGCCTTCTCTGACACTATGCATATAGGTATGTATGTGTGTGACGTGCCTTTGGCCTTCGTAAGAAACCAACTGACAGGTTAGTAAAAAAAATGAGCATGTCTATGCTGCATGTATACCGCTTATGTGAACGAGTGCCGGTGTGTTTTTTTTTTTTTTAGGTGGTTGCTATGTATTTTCATATAATTGTATATTTGTATGGCATATTATGGTTTATAGTTAATTATGGTTTATGGTATAAATATCTGCATGATGCAGGGGGTACGAAAAGCCTTACAGTTTGTGGGAGACGAGGGTGGAAGAAGATGGCACGTGACAGGCGGTCGGCCGATAAGACACGAGCTGGCGCGAGACAGGGCTCGCAGTGCGAGACGAGGAGCGACTAGCGAACGGCCGCAACGGTGCAAGCCCTGGACGACTCGGCGGAACAGAAGACCGGGCCAGCCCCGGAGAAGACGCGGTCTAGCACCAAGGAACACTAAAGTGTTTTCTTGCATCTCCTCTAACGTGTGACTTCTTGAAAGGGTGGAACAGGCGGGGACCGAGTGGGCGGCAGTAATATTGAGCGGCCCACAGCTTTCAAATAATAGATTTTATTCTGATGGTCGAACGGATGTCCAACAAAAAAAAGGAAAATTTTGTTGCGAACAGCAATGGTTTCAATTATTTCTGCCTAAAGCATATAAACGTAAAATGGGCAAATCAATACCCAACTCCCGTAACGCCCATCGTTTTTTTTTTGTGTGTGTTTTTTAGATATATTTCACATTTTGGAACCGGTCGCAATGTGTCCCCTTGTTTTTGATACGAAAAAAAAATGTCCCGCATGATTCCAGTTTTTGTTTTCCTATGATGTTTATGCCACGTAGATTAAGCTTTTGTTCAGTAAAAAAAACGATATAAAAAGGCAATCACAAAGTCTACTTAAGTGCATTTCTTTAGAAAATGTTACAAAATTGTATTAGCGCTTTCAATAATAAAAACTGGATCGCAGTAAACTTTGTTTGTTAAAAGGTTTAACTAAAAGAACTTGTTTTTTTACAAAGCCCCTTTTTAGGTGCTTTAGAAGGCATACTTCAGCTTCAATCTAACCCGATTTGAATAGTGTCGAATAGTAAAAACGTTTAATGTTGAGTCGAATATTGAAAACCCAATCTCTATAGACATTCTTTTGCAAGCCCACTGAACGAAAAATGGAAAAAAATCACATGTCAACAACAAACTTGAGATACTGCTAAATGAAATCAACCAATTCACGCTTGGGTACTTGGCATTGGAAAAGCAGCGTACTGGATAGACTGTTACGGTTTAACAGTTTAAGTCGGAATGACGTCCTGCTTCACCTTGCCGCGTTCTTGCTTTAGCAATACATGATTACATTATGAACACGACAACTGGTTGGACGCGAAAAGCACTGGCGGTAGCTTGTGCAAGTTTGAATGCGAAAGCATTAAGTGTCCCATGGAGCGAACCGACGTCATCAATTTTGAAGCCGCGCCAAGGCCACCTAACTCCGCTGTCCCAATGGAGCGAAGCGAACCCGTGAACTGATGAATAGTCTCCCATTGGTTCTCGCGCGGCGTAGTTCTAAAAAAATGCCACCAGGGAATCCCCCTTCATGGCGGCGTAGCGCACGCAGCGGTCCGGCCGTAAAGCCTTTACCCGGCCGCCAGTAAAAGGTGAGGCGGTGCGGGCCTGGCCGCACAGCCCGCTCGGGCCATTTCCGGACAGACTGCACGGCCGAGCTCAGCGCGGCGCGGCCACTTCACGAGAGCGCGCGCTCGGCCGTCGGCCGCAACCTCCGCAGTAGCGAAACGTGGCCGTCCACGCCACTACGCCGCAGACGAACTAAGGGTGCGGCAGAACGACATTCATGCTTTCGCATTCAAAACTCATAAGAAGTGCTTAGGTGTCCTCGGATTTTTTTTCTATTCGAAATAGCGATATGTCTGATTTCAAGGTTTTCTTCGAATGTTGTGAGGAAGCTTGACCGCGACTAATTTGTTCGAGTAATACGAGAAACAAAGCATTTTTATTAAAATGGTTAGCCATTCAAGATTTCTTAAGGCAGGCTTGTTTTATTTGAATAAACCCGGACTTTGTCCAGGATTATTTGATGTGTCGAATTATCCGAAAACTTGAATACTAGAAATTCAAAAATTGATTCGATTTATTCGGGTTATCACTATGCGATTCGAATGCGAAACGTGAATGCTTGCCGACACCATGGATTTTATCATCATTTATATTAAACATAACGGGAGGTAATCGGACGGTTCATTGAAGAGTTCTGCGATTTGTCAAACATAACAAAAACGTATGGCTGATATGCCCTCTTAATGCTGAAGTAAGCTGGGATTATTTTAATTCCAGTCACGTAAATTTGGTTTAGTCTTCTTTATTATTCATCCGATAGTTTCTTTAATTAAAACGACCTCTGATTAGACAAACAAATTTCGTGTACACAAACTCCCAGCAAAGTACTATTTAGGGAGCTTTAGTTAACCTGCTGAGAACTCGCTACGTCGCATGCAATGTTTTTTTTTTTTTTGTTTTTTTTTAAATATATATATATAGATATGTATTTACAGAAGAGAGTTATTGTTTAGCAAGATTTCCGCCGCAATTTCTGTTTATCTATTTCAAGAACGCAGCAATTGTTGCAGACAATATTTTTTTTAACTTGTAGTTAATACAGGTTTCTTAAAAGACCTGTTCGCTGCAAGCAGAGCAAACCACAAGATGCTGTAAAAAAAGAACAGAAGAACACGGAAACTGGAGCAGCGCAAGGGGTCACACCTTTAATGCACTAATTCTAGCTGATTACCAAGTAACCGAGTAAAATGCCTTTTGATGCTCCACTTTGCCACACGAAAACGCTTTCTCATCGTGAAACAATCCTTTCCTTTCGAATCTGTCCCTTAAGTTATCTTCGATGGATGACGTTTCAATAGTACGTGGGTACGAAAAGAGGTTTTTTGGCTCTGTACACGATCGTGAAGGTAGGTCCCTGTTCTCGCCTTCACTCCACCCACAGATATGCCGCAGCGATTTTGGGGCTCAGAATTGTCGTTTCCTGCGTGTCACTTCAGGCGATGCAGAGCTGTGCTCCAGGAGCGGCGTACAGGTCCTTGTGGTCCTCGAAGAGTCGAGAGAGCGCGATCGTGTACTTCTCGTGAAGAGCGTCCACCTCCTCGTCGCTTGGGTCCTCGATCTTGGCAACTTCCAGCGGCGCTCCGACTGAGTATAGAGACAAAAATAGAAAGCTCGCGTTACTTCAAACCCAAGAGTTATCCCACATGAAATTATAATTCTGGACAGAAGACAAGGACAGCTATAGTCTAAGCTGCAGCTCAGGGCGTGGGTTATGATGTTCTCGCGTCTTGGTTCGTTATTTGTACCAATGCAGCCGATGAAGTGGCGACAAAAAAAGCATTACGGAGTTTTAGGGAGTTTTAGGGGGGGAACAACAAAAGCGCGGGATCAGGGGGCATTCACTGGGCGTTACTGGTTTGTCCGGGTGCAGCAAACGCACATGGACGACGAGCGTCGTGACACTGTACGTTTTGGCGCTGCTTCGCTGATCTGACTTAAGGCGCAGCTTAAGAGGTGACGAAAATAATCCCTGGAGAATGGAACAAGGGGGACAAAGGACGAACACAAATTTCCAAACACAGCTAGGTGACTGGTGCGCGACCGAAAGGAAATCCGCCTGGTCCGGGTGTCAAACCCGGGACCTCTCCATTTCCAGTGTTTGTCCTTTGTCTCGCTTGTTTCCCATCTCCAGGGATTATTTTCGTCATTCCTGTCCAGCTCGCTTGCACCTTTGCATTTAATGGCATTATAATCTTAAGAGGTGACTGAAGAAAACGTGTATTTAGTAGTGAATTCTTGATTATTTTTTTCCCGTGAATTTGAGTATCATGAGCATTTGAACCGTGCGTATTAATAAACCAGGAAAAAAAAAACGAAAAATAAAGCCAGAAGTTTTAACTGCCTCGGACGTATACGTCCGCTTGTGATGGAATTAGTACGGCATCTCTGACTGCTCGTGTAAGGCTTGCGTGCGTAAAGTGTGTGCATTTTGAGATCTTTATAGAGTATATACGTCCCAATTTCCTTTTGTTATAGAGCACGCAGAAAAGGAGGAGGCTTTCGACGCAATTCTAAAAGAGCTGTTGAGGTTACTTGGTACAACAATTTGAAATACCTGTAATTTTGACATTTGTGTTTCTGAAGGCCAAATTCAGAAGATTTAAGTGTTTTCTTTTTCAAATACAGAACCGCTTTAATTTCCCTTTTATCTTAGAAGGAGTCTAAGTCGAACCTAAGAGTGAAGCTGGAGACTTGTTTCCAGTTATCAGAGCTCATAGATAGACCATGTGAAAGGCAAAACAGAATATGCGGATTGAACGCCTCCTCCCCTCTCCCCTCCCCCCCCCCCCTCCCTCCCCTTGGGTTATCATTCTTAGCGAATTTTCAGCTTTTACAAAGTTTTTCGATCCGTAAAACTTAACATCAAATATGTGGGTGCCAATCCAAAAAAAAAAAAAAAACTAAAAGACGTTTAGGGGTTTGTCGAAGCTCCTTATTGAACACGAAATCGCGGAACAATAAAACTGCACCCGAAGGTGGCTTCACTGGTTAGATCACAATGCAAATACTTTGTACCAAACACGTCTTCCGAATTAAAGTTAGATGCGAGCTCGTAAAGACTTCCCTGAAAGGCCAATGTCCTGTCGGCAGCCGACGTCTGCGGGTTACTTGACAATGGGAATCATAGATGGCGCTAGCTACCGTACACTTGCACGATAACGCAAGGGTGGTTTCGTTCCCACGTGAAGATACCGTCGTATGGAACTGAGTTCTAGTTTTATCTATAGGACCGAAAGGTTAAATAGCTTAAGTTATATCTCTCACCGATAGAGGACGCACACCTCTGGTTCAAATTCTTTTTTTAAATACTTCCAATTTTTTTTTCGACTTTTCGCCGCTCGTATATTTTACCACGAACTTTCAACATCTTGACTTTTGCTTCAAAAACATTCTAATGAGCATGTGCACTATGAAAAGCACTATTCTGCTACGTTTTGTGTAATTATATCATCAGTCACCACTTAAGTTTATGTTTCACTAGATATACGTCCGAAAAACACTGTTCGCAAACATAAGCACAAGCAGGATACTGCTTTTGTAGGCCAGCATTATTTATATGTAATTGTGAAGTGAATAAAAACATTATTATTATTATTATTATTATTATTATTATTTGCCGTATGTAATACGGTAGAAGTATTACATACGGCACTGATACCGAAACAGAACAAGAAAAAATTGATCATATTAATCTTCCATTATGTCATGCTTTGTTTACTGAGACGGTTGTTTGAAGACACTTTTGGAATGACAAATTTAAAGTTCCCCACATTGCACCTCGGGCACTCAGACATACCACTCGTTTTCAGGTGCCGAGAATGTCAACGAGGTATGGCAGAAGACAACGAATATTTTGTGTACCGGACATTTTCAACAGTCTTCCTGAAAGAGTGTTGGATCTGGATTCGAAAAAAAAGTTGAAACAAGCCCTACGAGACCTATTTTAAATCAAGTGTGCCTGCACGAACCAGACTCATCTTCTGGGCGTCTTAAACTGTGCTCTAAAGATTTTTTTTTCTTAGGCCAGTGATGTGATCTTTATTACAACCCAAGTAGTGTGGCAACTTGACATGACCTGTGCTTCATTTTTTTAAATATTTTGATGTCTGTGTGTGTGTTCTTCATGTAATGTGACTATCCACATATCAACAACTCTGGACACTAACTTTACCAATGCTTCAATGTTATTTTTCTTAAAACGTGTGTGCTTGCGTGTGTGTGTGTGTGTGTGTGTGTGTGTGTGTGTGTGCGTGTGTGTGTGTGTGTGTGTGTGTTTTATGTGCTGATGCACTCTTCACAATGTTGAAATAATTGATTTATAACTTTAATACTGGTGGTTTAGCCAAACAAGCCAATTCAGGCTTCGGCAGACCCGAATTATACTTCGTCGCATCCGAAAAAATAAACTATTATTATTATTATTATTATTATTATTAGTCGTAATAATATTATTATCAATAGTATTATTATTACGAGTGACCTTGTTATCGAGTTTTCTTTTATTAAAGCGTTATCAACCGACTTCACAAAGACTGGCTTATGAAATAGGGAGACAGATGAGATTGCTTGATTGGCAGGCATACAATACGCTTCGTTTTTGTCTGCAAGCGGTATTCGTTGTTTGTTGGAGCATCGTGAGTGGGTTACACGAAAAAAGTAGACGGAATCAACATTCATCTTATAAAATGTAACAGAGCAATTGCATCTTTCCAGGGGTGCATTCCACTTCCGGCCGCCATCACTGGGGGAGATAAATACTTCCGGTTCTCCTATTTTAGGTTGTGTTGGAACGGGTGCGGCGACGACCAACGTTACTAAAACCGCCAGTTGGGAAACTCACCGTTGAAACCTGGGCCGCTGGCGTCCACCGAGACAAAGCTAAATACGACAACAGCGCCACTCTTCATCATTTGTCCTTACTGTGGTCACTTTGAGCTTCTAGAAAGCATGTTTTTGCGTAAAAATTAACGGAAAAAAACTATTTTTGTAGCAACGTTTATTGGAGTTTAGTACAAATGAAGGGCGCATGTTTTCTAAAATCTTTAGTTTGCAAGGTTTTGCAGCACAATTCATATTTTTTTTATATAACCATGCCTCAGCGGTGATTTCAAGTAGCGCGTCCCGATCTAGGCGCATCTTAACTTGGGTAATAATTTCGGCGCGTCCGCTTGGAAGGCGGGGGTGGCACCTCTGAAACCCTTCCATCGTATCTGTTTCGGAGCCAAAATGGCCGATTAAATCCAAGACTTCGCGAAAGCATTCGATAAAGTACAGCATAAACGTTTGCTTATAAAACTTTCTCAGTTAAATTTAAACTCTGATATCATACATTAGATTAAAGAATTCGTGAACAATCGCTCTCGGCCTGTTTTTGTTAACGGCCAGTCCTCTCATTCACTTCCAGTCACATCAGGCGTCCCCCAAGGATCCGTCCTTGGTCTCCTCTTGTTCCTAATATACATTAACGACTTGCCGCTTCATGTGTCTGGCCATATCCGTATGTTTGATGACGATTATGTTATCTATCGCTCGGTTACTAACGTTTCCGACCAACAATCTCTCCAAGATGACCTTAACCATGTGCAAGAATGGTGTGACGATTGGCTTATAAAGCTAAACCTTGATAAATGTAAACTCGTGTCCTTTCATTGCCGCCGCAATCCCCTTCTTTTCCATTACACTATCGCTAACATACCAGTAGAAATCTTAGGTTCATATAAATACCTCGGCGTCACTCTGTGCAACGATCTATCCTGGCGCACGCATGTTACTAATGTTATCTTATCTGCAAACAAAACATTGTGATTCTTAAAACGTCACTTTCGTCACCCCCCCAAGGTGTGAAATTACTTGCCTACAAATGACTTATCAGGTCAAAGTTAGAATATGCGTCCGCAATCCGAAGCCCGCACCAAGTATATCTCATAAACGCACTTGAAGCTGTTCAAAATCGCGGTACTAGGTTCATTCATTCCTCGTATTCATATAACGTCAGCATATCTTCCCTGAAAGCAGAATCGGGGTTGCCTAGCCTCTATATCCGTCGCCGCATCACCATCCTTTCTTTGTTCCACAAGTTCTATTATTCTCCGCTTGGTTCCATGCCTTACATCATACCGCCGGCACGCATTTTTCAACGCACTGGTCATCCGCTCCAAGTGGCACGCCCACGCGCCCGCACTGTCACTTTTTTTCCTCATTTTTTGCCCGCGCAGCCTCAGACTGGAACGGCCTTTCCCACAACATCGCTGCCGTCACCTGCCCATCAACCTTCATGGACAATGTAGCAACTCATATCTCTCTCTGAATATTTATGGCACCCAAGAACTAATCCATGTCTGCCCACCCCTTATGTAATACCCCTTGAGGGGAATTTTTAAGGTAATAAAGTGAAGGTGAAGTAAAGTAGAAGTCACGTGCAGTTCTCGAGTGGCCGCTGCGAGAGAAATGGCGGTGTTGGGATAGCCATTAGCTCAGCTCTCGACTACGGATCAATGCCACTTTTTCACAGAAGTCTTTATGGCAGTTTCCCAACTGAGTGGTTCTAGCAACGTTGGCGACGACTCTTGGTTCACTAGCGAGCAATTCTGTGAGAGCTACGCTCTAGAAATGTCCCAGTGTCGTGCTTTTAAGTTGTCCGTGCTTACCGGCACAAACAAAAATGCAACAATTGAAGTTATTTCAATTATCTAGAGACGAGGACGCAACCACTGATCTTTATGACAATTGCTAGATCGCGCCTCCCCGCTCCACGAACGCGGCCACCGGATGGTCATCTTGTATGCACCGAAGTCAAAATTTTGAAGCGTTGCAAAGGCTGGGCAGCAGCGTGCTGAAGACACATTTTCTGCTCGTTCGCCGTCATTCGCCGAAGAATGTATTTTAAAACCTTGTGGGGGACCTTTTTCAATCCATTCCGCATAATAAGCTCTTCCAAGCGGTGAGGAAATCGATTATAGGAAATGATGAGATCAGCTTTAGAAATTCAACCTTCAACCGGCGCAGGCGTGGAATCTTTCATTGATCTGCTGCAGTGCTATCTCAAGTCTACCTTTGTGTGTTTTGGGGAGAGTACGTACAAAGGTGAGGATTTTGTATCGGCTCCTCCGTCGCGCCTGTACTCTGCGATATATTTTTTTTTTGCTCAGTGTGATAAGGGCATACGGCTATATGCAACGGTATTGTACGAATAGGAAGCTTAACAATTTTTCCACGCGCGTTTGCGAGCAAGCGTGTGCGTGGCCGAGTGTTTACCGCGCTTGACGGTCGAGCGGAAGGTGTAGTTCGATTGCAGTCGGCGGACTTTTATTTATTCTTTCAACTTGGCCTTCTCGTAAGTTCGGGAACATTCTCGTCTGTTCGAGTTTCAAATGTTCTCAGTCCGGTGTTACTGGCGTCGGTGTGGAGATATGTTTCGGCATACTGGTCGAAATGGCCAAGAATCGGGGGCGTCGATGGCGGCGTAACGGCAGGGTCGAACGCTGGGGCGAGACTGACTCCGCTCGCCTTGCGGAGTCCCTTATGTACCCTCGTGGGTTTCTTGATCATTCGGCTTATAATTTTCGGTGCGTAGCACATTTGGAACTCGATCAGACGAGAATGTTCTTGAACTTACGAGAAGGCCAAGTTGAAAGAATAAATAAAAGGACAGTCCGCTGACTGGAATCGAACCTCCACCTTCCGCGCGAGAGTCGAGCGCGGTAACCACTCGGCCACGCACGCGCTTGCTCGCCGACGCGCGTGGCAGTAAGTTGCTATTTGGATGATTGCTTGGCGCTCGCTCCGAAGTCCGTTAATGTCGGCATAGAAATGATCAACGATGTACTAAATTGTTTCCTCTTGAATTCACGTGGATTCGAAGTTCACTCATGAAACTATGACAAATGAAAAGCTACAATTATCGGATTTAAGCCTTATCTTTGAAACTGACCATGCGTGCTGGAAGTATGAACCGCGAACAAAATAAGGGTTTCTGCCGTTTAATTATGCTCATTTTAAACTTGTACAAAGGAGTCGCGGAAGAAAGCTTTGGGACAGGTGAACCGTCTTAAACGCGCAGGATACCCCCATCGTTTTAAGGGAGGTAGCGAATAGCCTTGTTACTCAGCGTAGAAAAAATAAGGACACGGTGACTTCAGCTAGAAACAAAACAAGTACATTCATAATTTGTCCCACAATTTAAATAAGTGACTTCACACTTCGAGCGTATGCGGCGTTTTCTTCCCCAAATAGGCTGCTTAATTTATGTTCAAAAATAAATAAAGAAACAGAATAAAAAAAAAAAAAGAAACAGCTAGTCTGTCAGTGCGCCATCACTACACTTGGCAGATAGAGTTTTCCTTTTTATGCGAGAAGCCAGATAAGACAGTTCTTTAGTACGGTACGTCTTCACCTATTTCTTCGTCCCTGTTTCTTTTGGCGCTTCCGTACAACAATTTACCACCTAGCCCATCTTACAACAGTGATCAATTAGAGTAGATTTGGAACATAACCATGGTTAATAGTGCATAATAGGGACCGTAGCGATTTTTCGCTTTATTGATACAACTCTCCGTAACAGCTGGATAATCCAGAACTCTGTGCACAATATATGATGCAAAGACATCTCCGCGCGACACAACTTATCAACTTTGCCGCGGCGTCGATTCTTGTTCGGTATCCATGCGTGTAAAGGCACAGAGACGCAGCACTTCGGCGTGCCAAAAAAGCTTTAAGCGCGAGACCGGTGAAACTTTCTTTCGACAAGTTGTGCCTTTTTCCTGCGGCGCTGCGCTTTCGTAAACATTTTCACGTGTTCTCAATGGCAATTTTCACCATTTACACAGGGTTATAAAAACATCCGCGAATGACGACGAACGAGTAGAAAACGTGTCTTCAGCACGTTTTCTACGCCAGCCTCTGTAACGCTCCAAGAATTCGATTTTGATGCAGGCAAATGGCCGTAAGGTAGTCGCGCTCGCGGAGCGGTGAGGCGAAATCCAGCAATTGTTATAGAAATCAGTGATCCGAACAGAGTCAAACAACTTACTTTGCGTGCACCATCGCATAGGGTGGTAACAGAGTTTCATACTCCGCAAAATAAATCATACAAATCAGCGTCTGTAGATGGAAAGCACAAACTTTGACTGAATGAGCATTTAAGGGGGGGGATTCTACCTCGCAGACGACCAAGCTAGTGATAAATGTAACTTGTGGCTCCATCTCTCAGTAGGCGCTGCAAGTAGACAACAGAGTGTGTTGCCTGCCCTCTGCGGCAATCGGAGGATGGCGCCACAAGTCACACTCATCTTCAACTCGATCGTCTACGAATACGTGCACCGTTGACTTCGGCAAGTTGGCTGGTCTCATTTTTTACCGAAAAAAAAATGAAAGCCGTTAACAACTACATGTAACGCCGAATTAGAGCGCAGCTCTTGAGGAGGAGGAGGAGGGAAGGGTCCTCCTCCTCATCCTGTGTGCTACTCCTCCCTCCGAGCGGCGTCGCCATCGCCTCACAAGGGTCACGTGACCTCACGGGGGCTACGTGACCCCTGTGAGGTCACGTGGCGATGACGATGACGTCATCATCAATCGTGACGTCATTGTCACTGGTGACATCATCAGTGACGTCATCACTGGTAGCATTGATGACGTCATCATCACTGATAACGTCATCGGCATCGCCATCGGCACTGTCACTGTGACGTCAACAGCATCGGCATCGTCATTGTCACTGTGACGTCATCGGCATCGGCATCGTCACTGATGACGTCATCAGTGACGATGACGATGCCGATGACGTCATCAGTGAATGCCGTGGAGCCATCAGTGAAGTCACAGGTGACGTCATCGCCATAATCACTGATGACGTCATCAGCGTCGGCATCAGTGACATGACCAGTGACGTCACGCGTCCCATAAGGCACCTCGCGGTTAAGCAGACGGCGACGCCGCTCAAGCTGGAAACGGGCGCCTAAGAGCTGCGCTCTAAAAAAAATAAACTTTGCCTTGTAAATTTGCAAGATAAAATCCACCATCTAAATGCAAATTTGGTAAAAGAGCTTCCTATATGCAGGCGCGCCATTTTATCTGGTTTGTCCTGGAGCGTATGAACGCCATTAGCCACACTATATACCAGTGGACATGCTATATATGGGGGAGGGCGGAGAGAGAAAATTCATAACAGCTGCAGTCCCCGAAAACGTTAGAAACGCAGGGCGTGAAGAGTCCCAAGAAACGTCTCTTTTCGTTTCTTGGGCTGTCAGCGACCGCTGTAAAAGACGTTTCTCACTGAACGTTGCCCTCGTGTGTACGTACCGACGGTGACGACAGGCTTGCGGAAGGGCAACCAGCCGTAGGAGTACTGGAAGACTCCCCTGCCGTGGAAGATCGGAGGCGCAAAGCCCAAGCGACGCGTCAGCCAGGCCTGGCACCGACGGAGCAGAGTGCCCTCCGGGTTGGACGCCTGCACGAACAGCTCGTTCTCGCCGAACGATAGCACGGGCACCAGGGACGACCTGCGTACCCATCGGGGTATGTGCTTGACCCTCTAAACAAGATCACCCGTAGTGACCAGGCGCGAGTAGCGCTTGTTTAACCACTGACTAGTGATGTCATCGACTAAAATGATCACGTGGCGAGCGATAATCGCCGCTAAGTGAGCGCTTGCTGTTCAGCGGTCGTGTTTAGGGCCTAGTAGCCCCGCGCAACTAAAAGGTCGAATAACAAATCTTAGTTTAGCCGGTGTTTAGCGGGTGACTCAACGAGGTAGAGGGGCTTAGAGCGATAAACCGGGGTTCCGGTCTGCACTCGAATGTGCCCCCCAAAAGGCCGCTGCCATTGTACGCAAATATGACCACTCGTTACGTGACCAAACCAAATACGTGAGGTCACAGGAAAGATTGCAGCGCCCAGGCAGCGGCTGGCCCCAGCTGGACAGGAGCATTGGCCGGAGCTTGTCGGATGCTTTGTTCGTTGTCGTTCGTCTCAGCGAGTTCATTTCAGGCGTTTCAGGCGCGGAAGCCTTCATCTGAGGCCGGTCGAAAGCGACTTCAGAGTTCAGCGTGCTGTCTCACGTAGGTATAACGTGAAAATAGGAAGGTTTAGATCTTATTAACAAAAAAAAATGGTCCTTCGCGCAGTACAATACGGTGAAAAAGTAAGGAAAGTAAGTCAAATTAAATCGAAAAAAAAGGAAGCAGGAGACTGTCACTTGGAGAAAACGCGTGTTTCTGTCGCCTAGAAACTCAATTATCTCTTCGTTACTCTGAATCGATAGGTTGCAGCGCCCTGTGAGAAATTTTAGGTCAGGCAGTGATACACAAAATTAATTTAGCCGACGTAAACAATGTTATGTATATTACCATCATAAAAAAAATCGCTTGCTTTTGGCATTTTGTCAAGAAAAATAAAGTTGCGATAGCACCTGAAGCTTTTTTTTTTCAGCGAACAGCACTTTCTCGTTGAATTTCGCGGGGATTTGTTCCTGCTAAATTTAGCAGGGAAATTCTGAGTGACGTCACATGACAATGACATCTTAGCGTCACATTACGGTGGGACGTCAAGCAACATCATGACGTCACGCGGCATATGATATCGCACCACGAAATCCCGCGACATTGTGACGTCACGTAACAGTACGACGTAAGGCACGCTGTAACGCCACTTCAACCACTTCAACTTTACATGATATCACGCCATCGGGACACTTCATGACGTCACTCGACAATTTGCTTCTTGCGCCTTGCCTTAGGCGTCAAACGAACAGTTTCGTTGCGCATCTGCCGCTCTCCCATGACCTTGCTACGAAGCAACCAACACCAACACGAGCAAGCTAAGTCAGCGGAAGGGTTCTCCCAACGCACGGTAACACTGCAGAGAAGCGCCAGAGGGAGGGGCTGGTCGCTCGCTGCCCGTAAAGGCTAACTGATACACTTCCGTTAGGCTGCAACCGAGTCCGTAGTGCTGCCTTGTGCAGCCTTCTGACTCCTTACGATAAGAAAACACACTGGTACACTGGCGCCATCTTTGAGGTAGCCCTGGAACTGCATTTGATTAGGCTTTGTAGTATTTGCGAAATCAAATGTACGCAGTACATTTGATCGTTTACATAACTAGGCTCTTTACTTTCCGGTTTTAACCGAAAAAACACCGATAAACGGGTGTAGCACGATTGCCCCGCGTGCACAATCCCTGTCGCAAAAACCCCGCCTCATTGGTCTCACGGTTAGAAAACCCCGCGTTCAATTACCCTGTCCGGTATTCCCTCGCACCAAAAGCCCCATCCTCACTGCTCCCGTCCAAGCCTCTTTGCTCTTCAAACAGCATAGTCCTATGTCTTAACCTAATCAGTTGAGGGTCTACAAAGGGTAATATAAATAAAAGAAACAACAAAATAGGTTTAACTCAAACCGCAGAAAAAATTAGAATGACGTACAAGTGGCAAATTGCAGAAATCTGCATAACCTGCGATGCACTCCACTGCTACAGAGGTATACTCAGACTTAGAATTATAGACTTTATCTAGCTATATGGATACAAATATTTTTAGATTAACGTAAGAAGGCTGGAAATGGTGTTTGGTGCTCTATACCTAATAAATATGGCGCAATAAGCTGTGGGTTAACAGTTTTGACAGAAGCCACTTCGTCGGAACTGTGAATCCATGCGTGCTTCAGAGTGGACTAAAGATTTGGTTCAATGCTTGTTCTTTATAACTAAAAGTTTAAATTTTTTGCCAGTGACTGATATTTTATGTTTGTTTTCACTTGTATTGTTTCAAGACGTGAATGTGTATAGCGTACTCCTGAAGAACGGGAAGGTTTATCCAGCTAGTCCATACTTCAGTCCCGGGTACGGAATTATTATGTTACACAAGCTCGCGTGCACACTTACTGTCTCTTAGTTAAATGCAAAATGCTCCGTCCTCGCGCTGAAGACCCGGTCACCTGATATGGGGGATTCGGAAACCGGACAAAAGCTCACCGAACAAAAGCTCACCGGACAGAAGCTCACTGGACAAAAGCTCACCGGACAGAAGCTCACACGTTTTTTCACAGACCCGGACAGAAGCTCACCTGATTTTGTTTTGCTACCCGCGCGAAACACGGGCTGAAATAAAATTCGGACGCGACGGACATTGCACCATTTTCAGGTGAACTTGTACCTCATCCCACGCAAGGGTTTACTACGGTTGATCGAATGCCATTTCGTCGAAACATTTTTTAGAGAACGGGCACGTTTTATTGAAGCCCGGTTTAGAGAAAGCACAGCCTCAGTTTAGAGATATGCCGTTTATCGAAAAGGGGACGCTATTTAAAAAAGGCTTTTCTACTTCACGCGTGTATCACTGGTGCGCGTGTTAACCCAAGCTCCCGCCGCTTCGCGGCGGCAGTCTGCGGCGGCTCATTACAAAAATGTTAACACACTGACTTACGCCGCTTCGCGGTGGCTTCGCGCTACACGCCGCTTCGCGGTGGCCGAATTCGCTAAAAGGAGGCTCATCGCCTTTTTTTCTAAACTTGGTTTCTCTGTAAGACCAACATGACATTTTCTCTTGGTGAGCTTTTGTCCGGGTCTGTTGAAAAATGGGTGAGCTTTTGTTCGGTGAGCTTTTGTCCGGTGAGCTTCTGTCCGGTGAGCTTTTGTCCGGGATTCGGGGGATTCGCGGCTTGCGCTTCTGAAACTGGGGCTTAAGAGGGAGGTTAAGAATGGCCGGGCAGTTTGCCGCGGGGCATTTTGACACGGGGCTTTAGACATCGGGTGATTTCGTGCACCACCGCCGATAAACATCCGCCGGTGTAAACAATACACAATCGTTTGAAACCGAAAAACACCGGTTCTACGATATTTTCGAGCAAGCGCTGGCGGTCTTCACCGAAAAAGTCCTGTATACTTTCCAGAACTAATAGACAAACACCGATAAAGATGCGCCGGTGAGGAAAGTAAAAATAGTCAAAACAAGACAAAAAAAAAAACGATTCCTAATAATTTTTTCTCCTATCAATCTTGTTGGTTTTTGTTGTTGATTTTTCGTCGGCAAAGTCCTACGCATAACTCTGTGAAACAAATCATCTTGCCAGGAATCATGCACTTTGACTGTCTTTCTTTTGTGACCTATGTGGTCATGAACTCTTGGAGGATAGTAGCTTTGTTTCACTGTTTTCCACAGTGGTCTTCTTGGACCACCGACCTTGAAGATCACTATCAGTGCCCTGAGAGACCAGTCACAACCTGTGCTCTTGTTCTCTTGAGGTGGGAATGATCTCAATGCCCTTGTCCCATTCAAGTCAGAACGGGAGATCGTCATTGTCTTGTTGCAGAGAAAGAGAGGAGAAAAACCTTCATTTCTCGACGGAAAAAATACTTAAAAACATGGTTTTCAGGTTCTGCTATTAACAGCAAAGTTGGGCTACTTTATACTCCATTTAGCATTGAACTTTGGCTGTTGGCTATGTGGCTATTTTTGGGCTATTTCACGTCTTAATGCGGCAAGTTTTTATTTTTTTGTGCTTGGTTTAGAGTAGATGAACAGAAGACACTTCAGCATGCGCACAAAGCGACAGTCCACCCTTTCCAAATTTCCGCTTTTAGAGATTTTTTGTGAGAAGATGCGCGGGCGTGACGCTAGATCTCTTGGGTCCAGTGAGCTACCGTGACTTAGATTCAGCTCCGACGTCATCGCTCTTGTATTCATTCTGGCTAATCTTATGTTGCCAAGTTCTTTCACCTTCCCCTGGCGTCTTTTATGTCCTCGAGTTTCCCACCATCCTCCTAGAGGAGGCACCTCTTCTAAAGAAAAAGGACAGAAAAGGAGACTCAAGATATACAGCAGGATTTCATGTCGTCCGATAACGCGTGCTGTGCAAGGTAAACAAAGAAGACATTTTTTTCAAAATATGGAAGATTTTTTTAAGCAGAATGAGCCATAACAAAAGACAACAGATTTTAAACAGTGAATAATCCGAACAAAATCGAGTTCGAAGTGCATGAGCAGCCATGTTTCTATTTCAATCCGAGTTTGCCATCGCGCTACTGACACTACCCACGTCGAATGCCGCCGTGGAGAGAGTATTCAGTGACGTATTCCTGACTAAGTCAGACATAAGGAACAGTATGTCTCTTCCAACTCTTCAAAACATCCTCTATGTAATGCTTGTTTTTCTTGATAAGAACGCCTGGTGTAAGCCTATCAACACTACATGAAGAATTTATAGGCCGTTTTAACACGAAAATCCTGCATGAGGCGAGTCACCCGAACACGAGCGAGTGTTTCATAACCATGTGACCGTAAAAACACATGTAAAAAAATGTTGTCCTTTTTGTGTGAAATAAAACGTTTTCAATGCATTTCAAGTTGTACGTCTTGCAAGCTGCTCCAAAACCCTAGATATGCAGACGCAGTGCCTTCGCCTTGAGCTGGTACATTCGAGCGCGCGATTTTTCGGGCTCTTCAGATATCTTAAAGAGGGCTACTATTGGGCTATATAATTATTTTGAATTTGACTGCTTTTCGTTT